TGGCTCTGCAGTGCAGGTGGGGATAATGTGTAATGCTGGATTTACACTGCATGCCATTATGAAGCTGAGGCCATCATCAAACTATTAACAAAATATGGTATGTGCAGCAAACAGTAGTGACTTATTTAGTGTAGCATAGTGTTTACACTACTTTAAATTTCCATTCATGTAAACTCATTCTGCCTGACCACTTGCTGATGTTTCATCTAAGTCATAACAAGTTCCCAAAAGTTCTCTGAGTTTAGTTCTTCTTGGAAGGACTAAACATCTTCAGCCATCCTTTAGTACGCATACAATCCACGCCACACTGCGCTGATCCCAGTGTGTGTGTTTTATGTCCTTTCAGACAGACAGCGGGCACCTCACACTTCAGACTCAATCACTCAACTTATGGGTGAACACTGTCTCCATGGTAACAGTTCCTCACCCAGATTGAGTGAAGGCAAGCAGAGGTCAGGTTGTCCAAACGTTTAGGGGGAGGCACTTGTTTCTGACAACTAATATTAACCACTTAACCAACCAGTGGAAAGTAAACACACACTTGAGACAATGTCAACACGGTTGTTTTCCTTTCTTGAAACACTGAGGTGACAAAATGATGTATTAATTTAAAAAAAAAAAAACTGGTAGCAGCTTCAGAAACACGAGGAGATCCTTGGTACTGTCTGATCATTGCACAATATAAATATAGTCTAGCAGCACTGTTTGGAATTACTTATCTAGATAAGAGAAACATGTCACACAAGAACTAAAACTTTTCAGTAAAACATTAATTTTATTCTACTAATAAGTGATTTTACTATTATACTAATAATAATACTACATCATTCTAATACAATATATTGTAGAATTATATTATCATAATGTAGACAAGAAACAGTTTTTTGCTTGTTTTTTCAGCATGACAATGATCCCAAACATGCTAACAATCCAGCAAAAGCATACCTGGATAGAAAAACACACAATGCACACAACACGCAATGCAGTATCAGTCATGGATTGGCCTCCCCAGAGACCAAACCTCAGAATTACTGAAACATTGTGGGAATCTTGTTGCACCTATTTCCCATTTTCCAGCAAAATATGAAGAAATGAGGGCTCATATTTTTTCACATTACTTTATATTGTATTGGATGCTTTTAGCAAATTTTAATAAAGCTAATATTATCATTACTCGTTATTATTACTGTTACATTGTCGCCGTTACACTGCTGCATCGTTACTTGATTAGCCTATCTGACATTTTCGTGCACCGTGAACATTCACCGTATTCCATTTCGTGTGGTTGTAAGAGCAATGTCTAATCGGTACCTGTGGAGGGCGCCCACACGCCTGCGAGGCATCGAGCCTTCATCTAATCGAGACAGAGGAAGAGGCGGCAGCGGCAGAGGCAGAGAGAGATAAAGAAGAAGAATTTAACGGTTCCCGGTTGTTGAACCGCTCCGGTCTCCACGGTGCCCTGCGGCTTATGAACAGTTTGGGGCTTGGGGTGACGGTCATTTAGTCGACTAGCAGTTATAGTCACTTCAATTAGATAGGTCACCACCATGTTTTTACTAAAGGTAGCAATGTTTTGACAGCTTACCACCCTAAAGAGCATCACTGCACGCAGAGGTAACGTTCATTTGTTTGATTGCACATCTAATAACGCTGTGTGGTTGATGTACAGAGTTAGCGCTCTGTGAATCCACTAAAATAATACTTGTGTTAACTAACCATAGTGTCCGTGCTAGATAACCCTAGCTAGCGCTGGTCAGTTGACCAAAGATGTAACTCTCGCTAGCTGACGGAGAAGTCGGAGGAAATGTTGCACCGTAGTTTAGAACAATGCAATTATCTCTTCCAACGAAACCGTGCTTAAATTTAACGTTGTTTCACTCGAACTAAATCTTTTTTCCCCATGCGATGTGATAAAATGTTGCACATATCTTATTAGCAGTACCGGAGAAAGTGAAGTCGAGCGCGAAATCTTTCAGCGTTTTAACGCCACAAAAGAGACGCAGTTAATGACGTACTTTATTAAACAGTGGCTTAAGATCATCGTCAAATCCCTCAAGTCCCATGCTGTTTGACTGAAGCCATCAATCAGAACTTTTACTGTAACAATGTTGACACCTTTTAAAATGAACTATGTCCGCTGCCGCCCCTTGCGGCTTACTTGTGTAATAACAGGCTGTGCGAGAGGAGCAGAAAAAACAAGAGAGAGAAATGGTTATTGAAGATATCTATTTGAAGATAAGAAATGCATATGTTGTGAATAATATTTTATGCTTTTAAAATTAGGTTCTTAAGGAGGGTATGCCTTGTTTCACTAACCTGTAAAATATCAACCCTGTGCAATCAATAATGCTACAAGCACACATGTTTTTATACACACTAATATATTTATATTGTTTTATTTATTCGAAATTGTGTTATTAGTCTTTGTACATATGAAAACTATTTAATTAGATATATTGCTCACTTTCTACTGAATGGGACTGCTTACCTTTTTTATTTTTTGTTTAATGACAATAAAAATTCTGATTCTGGCTGTGATGCTGAAAAAAATCTTAATGTCACTGTAATAAGACCGAGAATTGCAAACATTCCCAAAATGTTGGGATATTTTTGTGAGATACATGGAATGATACAATATATTTTCACAACACATCATTTAATTCCCATTTTATTGTTGAGTATGCATGTCTCCTTGCAGATTTTCCCTGTTATCCTTCGAACAATACAGTGTTGAGATTTATCAGTCGCTCAACATGATCTTAAAGGCTCTGCTGTGTGTGAAGAAGCGTGGGTCAGCTCAGATTACGATTATGCTTTATATTTTGGCTCAGGTGTCAGATGTACGCATACATCTGTCTCTGTTTTAACAGGAAAGGAGTTGGTTGATTCAGTTGCTTCTAATCGATTGGAATAATTTGTTTCTCCGATTTAGAGCCAGAGCAATGGAGGGAGGCTCTGAGCTGATGGAGGATATTGTATTTCGGGGGGTGGAGTTTTCCGTGAAGATGGAGGTGGACAAGGGTTTGCTCATTGTCGAAATTTCTGATTCAATGACAGCGGATCAGTGGACGGGGGAGTTTGATCCAGCATGTAAGTGGCGTATACATCTCAGTTTACATATCACTATAGCCAGTCATTCATGCTGTTTAACTTTAACTGCTTTTTCATTTATTTAGATATTGAAGACCTCACTCGCAAAACTGGAAACTTCAAGCAGTTTCCTATTTTCTGTAGCATGCTGGAATCTGCAGTGAGAAAGGTGTGTGTGTGGGGGGGGGGGGATTAGAGGCAGAACGAATGTAAACACAGTTAATAGATGAATATAAGGAGACAGATTTCCCTGAGGCTGTGTGAGCCGAAGAAGAGACTCGGTTGTGTTCATTGTCTCCACTTAAGCGAAAAATGCCCAGTTATCCCAGGATGTCCTACTCCCTTTTTCCTTTTAATTAACGTGTAGTAGCAGGGGGGAAAAGAAGGAGCCTGGAGGAAATTAGGAGAGACAAACTGAATTTTTGGCACATTTTTAAGTCTGCTGCAACTAAATTGTCATGAAAGCAAGGTATACACGCACACTGTAAATGTTAAAGCAAGACAGAAAAACATGCTTTCTGAAGATGCATTATTAGAAAATTAGATCCATGATCATTAGAAGAGATGGCTGATATTTTTTTGCCATTAAATTGCTGTAAATTGGGGGGGTAAATATAAAATCAGGAGCCTACGATCATAAGACTGTTCCCTAAGGTGATAATGGCATGTTTTATTATTCTGATTGTTGAAAGAGATGCTTCTTTGCAGACGAGTGACTCTGTTACGCTTGACCTCCTGACCTATGCTGACCTGGAGCTACTGCGAAACAGAAAAGCAGGGTGGTCAGTCGTCCTCGCAGCCATCAGCAGCCATCTGCTCTCACCGCCAAAAGATATCTCATTCTCATATACACAGTGGAGTTTGACAGGTTTGCTCACAGCTTTGCTGCTTTATGCCCTCTGCGTCTGTAGTAGAAGCTGTGCTGATGTTCTGATTTCTGTCCATGTGTAGAATTCACTACCCTCTACCTCTGCCCTATGTGGGAAAGCCTGACCCAGCTGTCCTGCAGAAGGAAATCAGAGCGCTCAGGGCTGAGCTCAGTGCTCTCACCTCTCACGGAGTTAACAAATCTGCAGATCTAGAAATACAGCGGCTACGAGCAGAGTAGGTTTAATCTCTACCAGTGTTACCAATATTAGCAGATGCTGGAAGTTTTCTTCTTCTCTTTTTTTAAATGTCTCCTGCTGTTTTCAAGGCTGGCTCTGGTTAAAGAGGAAAAGGAGAGCATGGCGAAGGTTCTGGAGCGACTGCAGTTGAGTGGAAATGATCCCACGTCTGGACGAGAGGACTGGAGAATGAGAGATGTGGTGAGGACGCTGGAGGAGCAACTTGTCAAGGAAAGGGCCAAAAGTCAGCGCTCGATGAGCAAGAGATGTCAGGAGCAGCGACTGCTAGTGGAGCAGGTGATGCTTCTTTGTTTTTTTTAACCTGTGTAACGCCCCCTTTTTAAAATAAATCAGTAGGTTTTAACTTTTTCCTTTTTCCATTCCAGTTAGAGGAGCTGAGAGCATCAGAGTGTGCTCTCCGTGTTCGTGTCAAGAGTCTCACCAATGAACTGGCGTTACTACGGAGAGGGTTAGACAATCTAAGCGTGTACTATATCTTTACTTTCTCTCTTTCATACATTCGCTTACACGCTTAAAATTTCAAAACCCAAATCAGTCACCCACTGAACACTCGTGCTGTTTTTCTTGTGTATGCAGCAGAGTGACTCCTGTGTCGGGTCGTATCAGCTCACGGGTAGATGGAGAAATTTATCGCTCACTTTCTCGGGAGAGAAGGTCTGGGTACGGGACAATCAGGGCTCGCTCGGATCTAGAGAACGTACAGAGGATAGAGGACAGAGGTTGGTAGAAAGAGAAGACGTGCAGACTCCTCGGGACCGCGTGCTCACATACCCAGGCCATCACCTTCCCCACAGGTACTACCTCTGCTCCTGATGTTGTTTCTGTGAATGAATTCTCAGTAATTAATCGCACTGATAAAGATTTGTACTTGATAAGCACTTCTGTTTTTGCAGGGTCACGGGTTCCACGCTTTGATCCAACAGCATATATCCAGGACAGGCAGCGCAGACAGAAGGAGGCAGAAATCAAAAAGTTGGTTTCCTCACTTTGTGAGTATACGCCAGTACTCCGTGTAGTAGCTGCTCAAGCATGTTTTTCTGTGTCAGACAAAGGAAGGTGCGAAGGGACATGCTGGCATCACCCGTGCTCCCGAGGAGAGGCCGTTCACGTTCCAGAGGAAGCCTATCCTCAGCTGACCCGGTCAGGCAGCAGAGGCAGGAGTTTATCTATGGAGCGGCGAGGGAGCAGGAACTCCTCTGAAAGCTCGTTAGTGGACATGGATGAAATGACCAAAACTCTGTACAGGTGATAGTACTTTGGATGGATTTGTGGAAAGGCCCTGTGGGTGTAGCTGGCTATTTTAATGTCTGGGTTGTTTTTTTGTTTTTTTTCTTTCATGTTTTCAGAGGAAGAAAACAGACTTACAATGGACCAATGTGGTGAGTAATGACTTTCCTGTTATTTATTTGTTGTCCTCTCCTGTATGTATTTGAAAAGGGCTGATACCAGCCTTTTTTGGGTATGAAAGCAGTGTAGGTAGTAGATGTTAGTGGAATTAAATCACTGAGAGTTATAGTTTTTTAATGGTTTTGTAGCCACTAAGTACAGAATATTACAGGCCTTAACATTTACAGTGCAATTTATCTGTCTCTAGTCCAGGGGAGGCCTTCTGTCCAGGAAGCCATTATGCAGCACACCAACACTCAGAGTCAAAGACAAAGGTAACTTGTACTTGTAACTTTTTTTTTTTGTCCCCATCAGTTTACATGCATTTTTGGTTTTTAAAGTCTAATTTGTCATTTGTTGTCCCAAACCCCAGAAAGCTCTGTAGATACAGGTACAGAGCTATCAGAGATTGATGCAAGGCTGCAGGCACTGCAGGAGTACATGAGAGACTTGGATCAGGACATTGACCTGCTGCACAGGATTGTCTGATTTCATCATCTGCATAAAACTGAGGAAGAAATCCTGATTTGGACCTGAGCTTCGGGTTTAGCAGAGTATGCACTAACTCAGAGACTAAAACTCCCTCTGGAAGCTCAGACTTCTGGAAACTACAGCCATCAATATGAAGGTCATTGGACTACCTTTTTGTGACTAATTTCTTATGTTTTTATAATTAACTTAAAATATGACTGTCTGTGTGTTGCCAGCTTTCCCCCCCTTTTTTAAGCCCAAACAAACTGTACATGTGTGTAAAATTTGGCATTGCCTGGTAATGTTGATCTTTCAAAGGCTTGTTTAATAGTGTGGGCAGAGTTGAGTCCTTTTATTTCAGTCCATGATGCAGAAAGGCATTTCGTCACTGGGTTTGCAGGTAGATCATTTCTATCTATCTATCAGCCGCCACATCCATGTCTGATCCTTGCTTTCATCATCAGTTTAAAATGCAGAACATTTTTTTACGATTTCTCCGTTATGAGTTGGTGTTAAAAAAGTGATCCATACATCTTTTGATACATTACAGAAATGTCCATGAGTATGAGTATACCAAAATGTTATAGTACATCCACACATTTAAACATGTAATGGGCTGTTGTTTCTACCACCCAGTGCTTGCTGGGATGCCTTACAGCTCCTGTGCTCTGAATCAGTGGATGACATAAGTGATACATGGTGGTCAGTTTTCCACTTTTTTTTTTTTTTTTTTTTTAATTATTATTATTATTTTACCTTGTCTTCCCACTTTGAAGTAAGGATTATCAGTGCATCTCAAGTATTTTGTTACCTATACAGTCTAATTGTTCCACACAGTGCAATACAATACAGCCTTTTCTGCCCTTTAAATTCAGCATTATTTTGATGGTATCACAACTGATTCCAAACTTGTTAGACATCTCATAAGGGAACATATTTCATAAAAACAATGTTTTAATAGACTATGCTGATGGTGCATGTAACGTGTGTAAAAACTTGGCACATTTTTCATAAGAAAGTGCCAAATATTTTCTGGAACTGTTGTCTGCGACTGTTACTAGACTTTAATCCATTGTTTTTATACCACCTAAATATAATTTATAAGAAAGATATGCTGTGTGTAAGGAGTCTTTTTATAGTTTTATACATACTGCTTTGGATTAGTGTTCGCTGACAGAAGCTTGAGGGGTACCTTGAAGATCTTCCAGCACTGCAGCTGGTCTGCTTCACTAATTAACAAGTCCTCTTCTCAGGCAAACCAGACCAGTGTCTGAACAGCTGCCATGTGCCTAGCAGGATACTCAGGAGGGAAACATGAACACCTTATGTTGGTTTATGCCATGCAGAAATTTGGCACTCACTCACATCCACAATGTGTGCAAGCGTCACCTTTTTTACACAAGAATGCAGACACAGATTAAAAAAGATTTTAGTGTAAGCCATATATTTGGTTTGTTTTTTATGGCAGGTCAAACCTTTATGTGCCATACAAGTAGCTTCTCTGTCTGTTTGATTTGGCAGATTTTTTTTTTTAAACATGGGACGCCCTGACACAACACCAAAGGGATTTGTGTCTCCTGGGACTGAACAGGGGATCTTTCACTTGTTAGCCAAATGTATAACCACTAGACTATGGACTATCTACTACTGTCAACAAATCTAGAACAATTTCCCTTGTGGGATCAAAAACATAGCCATCTGGTACAGCTTTATATGATTCAAAGTTCAATACTGGGCCTTGGTTCCATCATTTTACATTCATCTTTTGAAACAAACCCTTTAGCTCTTTTTCAGCTTACATTGTAAACAGAAGATTTGTATGTTTGACCCTAATAGGAACACTTATGTCATACATATTAAATAGTTGGGGAAAAAATCCTCTTGACACAAAACATTCAAAGTAGCCTGAAGCCTGGATTAGATGTACAAACACTGACCTCGTTATTTGAAAAGTCATATTTAATGATCAATACCATCAACATGTGACAGGAGATAAGGAAAATATAAAAGGTGCACTTTAAAGCATGAAAAAAGTAAGTGTCTACTATATGACTTTAATTTAATATAGAAAAATATTAAGAGTTAATCAACAGGTCAAGGATTAAGGCACATTCACCAGTTAGCTTTGGTAGCAGCGAAACAGCCAAGCAACTGAACAACTACAACTACAAACATGATAATGTTTCCTGTGAAAAGGCTGAAAAAGTGCTAAACCAAAGTGACACCGCTGGCCTGTTGTTTACGTTTAAACAACTTTGGAAGCTCAGTGCAAACTACTCTTGTAAAACATTCAATCTTCTGGAGGAAATAAGTAATAAAACAAAAATTACAACTTTCTCCTCCTACAAAGATAATTTTCTTGCTCAAGTCTGTCCAGGCTGCTTCACAGTCATCTGAGTCGCATCATTTCTTCGACTGTTCAGTATGCTTTGTATTCTGAATGTGAGCTAAGAAGGGAATGATAGAAAAAATGTATATTAGTACAATAGTACGTACACACAGGTGCACTCACAGGTCTACAAATTACTTACTGTTTGTTGCTGTCCAAGAGCGTCTCGATAAAAACCATATAAATGTTCCTGCTTCTTCAGATCGTATTGTCTCCAGACCTCAGCTTTGCTCTTTACCTCGGCCTCAGGCAACTGGGCGTACTGCTGCCGCTGTAACAGAATATTTTGAACTCAACTTACATAAGTTTGCATTGTGAGTCGTCTGAATTTTGTTATCTGCCACTGCCTTGTGAAAACGCTGGTTTTAAGTTGATCCAGGATTAGCTGATCTTGTTAATGCAAATCCTATTTATTCAGTGACTCAAAGCCACAGAGTATGAACAGCCAAGATAAAATTATTGACCAGAGAACACAATCCACCATCAGAAACACTGTGGAGCTGGAGGACAAAGAAGTGTTTACTGACATTAATGACACAAAACAGTGCCAAAAACTGACCGACATTCATAAAAGGCCCAGCATGGCACTGAATGAATTTTTTTACAAGTACAGCTATGCAAAAGATTTTGCAAAATATGTTTCAATTTTAAAGTGAATTAAATACTTTTTAAAACTAACATAAATCAACATTTAAAGAACTTTATTTTCCTTAAAAAAAATGCCATCGCCACAGGATATGAGGGTCACTCACCATTAGAAACATGTATTCCTCAACAGTGTGAATCCTCATTTTCTGCAGTGCCGTGAAGGTCACTGAAACAGTTGTTCTGCTTTTGTTAAGCAGTTCCTGTAGAGACATTTTTACTTAATATATAATATAAAACACAAATGTTACTAAACAGTGAGGCGATAAAATGACATATTTATACCAATAGCTGCTCATTGGTTTTTAAATCCAAATCATCTTGGTGAGAGGTCTCTGGAACACTGGCTGGGTGTGACTGAGTAAAGACAGACAGTTTTACTCATATGCATATGATGTAAAAGGTGGGGATAATCAGTGCTTTGCAGTGAGCAGTCCTGTACCTCAGCTTCATACTCATCCCAAGCAGCTTTCCGTTCTGCCTCACTGAGCTCCTCGTCTTGTTTATGGTCCAGCAGGGATTCGTGCTCATGGTAAGTCACTATGTGGTCTTTGCAGTCTTCTAACAGCTGTGCCAGAACCGTATCCTGAGAAACATACAAGAAGTTATCTAGTGCTGCAAAATCTTAGTCAAACACCTGCGTGGTGTTTGACTAAGATTAAGACTGTAAGATTGAGACTGAAAATTAAGACTGTCGTTACCATTGGCAACACAGAAGCCGGTCTTTTGCTTTTCTTAGAGTTTGGATCGTTGAGCAGGTCTGGCTCGAATGTGTAAAGTTCAGTCAGCTCATGAAAGGTGAAGTGTCTCTCAATCTGCTGCTGATCTACTACTCGGAAGGACAGCGACTGCTTGGTTACCTGCCGATCGTAGATTTCTCCTCCATGGTGCCCTGAAGATGACAACAATCACAATAACTAAATAAAAGAGTTGCAGCTGCAAGAATTAGTCCATATAAATTTTTGCATCGCTTTTCAGTTTACGTCTGATGTTGTTTTAATTTGAAAAGGACTATTTAGTGACCAATCTTAAACATTTCATCTGTTGATGTAACATGTGCAGAACATACAACAGTGGCACAGTAGAAAAGAAGCACATATGACTTTTAAACAGTGCCGTTTCTTCTAAACTACTAGAGAGGCCACAACTGACTTAAGGTCAAGACTTTGTGGAGCTCAATTTTCTAAATAAAAAAGCAAGCTTACCTGGGCCAAGAAGCGGTACACAAACACTTGTTTCAGCTGACCAAAGCGGTACACTCTGTAAATGCTCTGGATGTCATATGAGGGATTCCATGAGGCATCAAAGATGATCACCTGTTAGCAGCCACCAGGTTGATGCCAAGTGAGCCAGCTTTGTTGAGATGAGGAACAATCGGCCGCTAGAATAAAGATTATTCAAATTCAATCCGAACCTTCTGTTATATCAGTGTAGTTCATATAAAATGTGACAGAGAGAGACATTCTTTACCGGACATTTACAGGATTGTTAAACTCATCTGCCCACTTCTTCCTCAGTGTGGCACTGGTGGAACCATCGAAGCGGTAATAATCAACATTTTTAACCCAGCTGCCCGCTGTAAAATTTAAACACAAGGAGGAAAAACATAAAAATAAAACAGGCATTTCCTCTTACTCATTATTTTCCTCTCCCATTAATAGAATACTACCTTTGAATGCTGATGGGTCTCTGGCACGGTGAGATCCGCAAGAAAATCCTCATCAGGTGTAATGAGATCAGTGACTGACTGAACACAATCCTACAAACGCATTTATGACATTAGACGCTGGCAGATCACTTGTTTAAATCTGCTTCATATCAGAAAACAAACATACACTTTATCCTCCAGTTCTTCAGCCATTCTCAGGATCTCAAACAAGAGCACCATCTTCCCTGAGTGCTCCAGGATTTTGGCATCTCTTTCAGAGAGAAGATCCTTGTACCAGCGCTCATCGGGACTCGAGGCTTCAAGCTGATGGGTGCGTTCTCTACTGCTAAAGACATAAATGGGAAAAACTGTAGCACATTTCACAGCTATATTTGTTGGAGTATTAGTGGCATGTGAGCTTTATACCTTCCACTGCACAGACAACTTTGACATCATCAATAATTGGTGTGCTGTTGTGAGTGTTATTCCCTTCTTGTCCTTCGTTCTCTTTCATTCCTTCACACCAGCTAAAAATGAAGAAATAAACATAACCATTGTAGCATATGTATGCATGCTCCACATCTCTTCCTGGACGAGTGGACTAACCTTGATGAAACTTTGCATAAACATTGCCTAGGGTACTTTGACTACCAAAACTATATGGCGTATACAAATATTCTATACAAACTCCACAATCACATTTATTAGTGACACTTCCAGAGTTTATACACTTCCTGTCTACACAACATCCATTTTTCAATCTAGATTTATGCATCATGTTTCCTTGGATAGCCAGTTGGTCTACAATCTGTATTTGTTCACCACTGCTTGAGAATACATCTTAAAGGAAAGGTCTTTAGTATTCCATAACCCACCAGAATT